ACCAGAGGAATTGGCTATTGTCATCACCCTAATTTGAGGGCGGAGTCTGTAATACAAACTTCATCCACCACACTCATTTTAGGACAGGTCACCTCAGAGACGTTCTCAGCTCTCAAGAAAGTACATGTTGATAAAGGAAGAGACATGGCCCCTGCCCTCACAGGAAGCCTAGTCTGATGGAGATGGGAGGACGACAGGACACTCCCAGGGCACAGTGAGAATAGCAAACCCTTGTCTGGGAGCAGGGGAGAGGCTGGGATAAGAGCACAGGGTAAGGCCTGTCTGTCTTTCTGAAGAAAGAAGAGGAGGAGAGACAGGTAGTGGAGTTTCATGGACCAGCCTTGGCAAAGGGCTGAGGTGAGGTGGGGGCTGGAGCAGGGACTTGGGGCCCAAACCCCAGCATTTGGGGAAGCACAGGAGCCAGTGCAGGTGAGTGACTGCAGGGAAGAGCCACCAGGCTGCAGATGGCATCCAGGCTGAAGAAGTGGGCAGACCAGGGGGCATCTGAGGGGACTGAGAGCAGGAGGCTTCCCAGGCCAGAGGCAAGCAGGAAGTGGGGCCTGGAGTGGGCTGAAGGAGTTCACTTCCAAGGCTGAATGAATTCTCTGAAAAACGGTGAAGAAAATCTATGCACCCCCTGCCAGGAAGGTCCCTCCTCAGCTCTGGGAAAGCAGTGTGGTAACCTTTCAGGAAGGACCCTCCACCTGGGAGGGATTGTCAAAGTCAGGGCTACAGGGGGCACCACAATGAGCCCTGGGTCCAGAGGGAGGCTGATGGGGGCCTGAGTGCCAGGAACTGAGGGCTGGCAGCCAGGAGAGAGCACGGGAGGGCACACATTGGCCCAGGGGGGCCACCCTGCGGATTCTGGCAGCTGGTTGACAGACCGACTCTGGGACCCTGCCGAGCTTGTGTTTCAGGTGCGTCCTGTTATCATTAGGGTCATTATTACTAATGAGGATTGTTGTCAATATTCACACCTGCATGTGGATTCCAGGACTCAGAGGCAAGTCCTGGTTCTTCTCCTTCTCTACTGGCAGCTTCCTGGACTCCCTGCCTCTTCCTCCAGATGGTGAGCTGTCTCCAAGTTCAATCCCAAGGCTTCATTCTTCATGCTCCGTCCCCCTCCTCACGGACATCCCACCACCGCAGCCTCAGTCCCCGACCTCTGTGGGGTTAGATCCATGCCTCCAGGCCTGTCCTCTTGTGGGAGATGAAATTATACTCTAGGGATTTGGAGAGTTGAGGATCAACCATTTCCTGAGCCATAGGTGCCAGGCTCTGTAATATACCTGTCACACAAAAACAGCCCTATTGCTATTCCATTTTACAGATAAACTGAGGCTTTGGAAGCTTATTAAATAACTATAAATCCACATCTCTCTGACTCCAAAACTGAGGGTTGTTTTCTTTGCAGATGTGAACATGTATCACAAACATGTATTATAAGTTTTCTTCCTCCTCCCTTCTTTAATACCTCAAGAAACCTACACAGGAGTCTGCTGCCACCTCAAACTCAGCCTCTATGACGCTGTGATCAGTGGTTTCATCCCATCCTCCTCTGCTCCGTTTCCTGCCTTTGTCCAGGCTCCAGTCTCCTCCTTGGTCCTCAGTGTCCCATCCTGCACATCTGCCTAAAATGCATCCAAGAAGGCTGGGGAGGGCTATGGCCACAGAGGGATGGCAGAAGGCCATCCCGTCCACTCCCCGCCAGCAGGCACAGTGACCATGCCCAGCTCCTCCAGATTCCCCAAAGCAGCCACTATCCCACCTTGCCTGCAGGACCCCACGTCCCCCACGCACCCCTCTGCGGCGCATTCTTCCCTATCTAACTGCAAAGAACTGAGTGCAATCAGTTTTGTTTCCGTACACCAGGAATAAATAAAATGGTTACTCCAGATGGGCTGGATGAACACAGAGTGTTAACTCCAGAGCAGGGGTTTCCCAGGTTCCCACCAAATCAGGGGAACAAGCCGTGAGGCGACTCCCTGGGCAGCTTAGTGGACGGGGCTATAGATCTGTCCCCTGCCTCCAGGCAGGCCCCAACCTAAACCCATAGGAGTGAAGTAGTTTTTGTAACTCTGGAAGAATCATGATTGGGTAATTCCCAAAACACCCTTGTTTCCAGTGAGGCAAAATAATAATAATTATCATTATTATGATTAACCCCTCCCCAGCGTCACCACAGTCTGACTGGGCCTAGGGTGGCTGAAATGTAATTGAACAGCATGAATGGTAATAGTCACTCAAAGAGGAGCACGCAGAAGAAAATTCCTTGGGACTCCATATGACTCATGGCCTTGAGAATTAGGGGCTTAAGAGAAGATGACTAGAGGATGACTTCCCAAAGGCTGGGGAGAGAGTCAGAGAAGGAACTGAGACAATGAGGACTCACAAGCATCTCTTGAATAGATCTCCCATGGCTGGATGCCCTGGGAGATGTGCGTGCAGATTCTGTGGATGCCAATGCAGGTTTCTGATGGCTACCGAAAGAGTAACCTGGAACCAAGGGGATATAAACTATCTGAATAATTTTTCAGTGTCCTGAGAAACCGGAATTTAGCTCTAGCAAGGCTGGGGAGAGATGGAAAAGGTAGAACTAGGAAGTAGAATGAAGACAATTTATGTAGTATTTCATAGAAGTAGCATAACTTTATGCTGTTTGCATCTCTCTAGAAAAATAGAGAAAAATCAAGACTCTACTTGAGATTCCCATTCTTGAGACAACGCTTGTGTGCCCAGCCATCTGCTTGCCTGGGGTCCTGCAGTCCACCGAGCTTTTCCAAGCCAGTTGTTAAATGCAGCCATTATTAAAAAGTTTAAATTTCATAAATCTATAACTAAATGATATTAAAGCAAACGTGATCAGTACTCAGAATTCACCACTTCCTGATAAGTTGCTGCAGTTCACTATTACCTAAGCTCTTAAAGTTATTTATTTCCTCTATTGTATCTGTATCATGGAAATACTACACAATAATGTGCTACCAAACTTTTCTCCCGATTCCATGCCAGTGACATCATGTTGGGAACTTGAATTCAGCCATAGTGGAAGCACTGACATCATTGAAATCAGCTAAGACTACAAATCAGGGCTTCCCAGCCCCTACCCCACCCTCCACCCTACTCCCAAAGCCACTGTTGAAATGTATCACCACAAGTGTTCTCCTCCAGCACTGAACAAGATTTCATGCAGGAGAAATGAACAAAAAAACACCAAGGCGTCCCTGAAGCAAAATTTCGGAAACAGAAACTTCCCTCCCTCTTTCTCCTGGGGTGGTAAGTACAGTGATGACTGATCTCAGCATTGGATTTAGGAACTCTCTACCTTCCCTGTTGACTCACCCTAACAGGAAGTGGTTCTCAGAGTCTCTCTGAAATCTCTCTTGCTGCTTTTTAATGAGCCTTTCTTGCCAGAGCCTCACTGGTCCTACCTCCCAAATGGTGGCTAAGTCTGATCATGGCTCCCTTGCTCCTGGAATGATGGGGAAAGATGATGTCATTCAACCACCTGCATGGCCAGCTGGCTGCCTCTGTCCCTCAGAAGCTTGCAGGAAGCTGAGCTGGAGGCTCCTCAGACTTGGAGCACTCTCCCCAAGTCATCCTATACCATCCCTGCCTTAAGGCAAAAGCATGCCAGACACAGTGCCCTGCTGAAGATCTCCTATTTATGACAAGTCATCTTATAGATGCTCATAAATATGACCCAATAAATGAAGGGGTAGATGGTTACTGGAATTCTCTTCTCTTCTCCGTATTTAATGCCCTTTCCCCATACCCCTTTCCATTCCCAAGAACTCCCCAACTTCCCACCCCCAAGTCAGTTGTCTCTGGTTCCTTTGGCCTCATTACTATCTCTCATATCTTCCAGCAAGCTCTATAAAAGCAGAGCTGGCAATGCCATCACCCCTTTGCAAATACCCAAGGCATCTCGAGGGTTTCCTAGTTATATGTTACTAAGAAGGGTTTGAGGGCTTCCTAAACCCATGAGGCCCATGCACACCACACACTTCCTGTGGCCCTAGAATAGTAGCAGGAAAAATGAGGAAGACTAGCTTCTCCTCAAGAGAAGAGACAAAGAGAGAAGAAAGATGCTGGGCTCTCAACAAGCAGGCAGCTGGGGAAAGGCAGGTAGAACAAAGTGCCCTTGAAGTGTTCTTCTGAACGCCGCCTACCAACTAGACCAGACGAGTGTCCAGCGTGTGCCTGTTGCAGCCATCCCGTATGGAGTGCAACCACTTGATCCACCAGAGGCAGCTGAATTAGAAATGCAACGCTCTGGGGTCCCTAAGAGTAGAACTCGGATCAAGGGATAAAAGCTATATGGGGACAAAAACTGGATTCCAGAGAAATATTCTGTTGAATATCGACAGTCAGAGGCCAAGTGGCATGTCTTGGAAGGTAGTGAGCTGCCATTAGAGGTTTTCAAGAAGAGGTTGAATATCCTTTGTCAGGAATTCTATAGAAAGAATTCAAATACCAGAGAAACAGCCTGCTGTCCTGGAATCAAACATGCCTAGATCAAATCCTGAATTATTACCTTTGTTGCCTTGGTCAAGATACCTAATCCCTCTGAGCCTCAGTTTATTCATTGGTATAATGAGAATAATACACAATCTCATAGTACTAAAGTAAGGAATAAATAAGACAAAGAATACAAAGGCAGCTGACAGTAGGTGCTCAATAAATGCCAATCCGCTTCCCACCAAAAGGGGGGCCAGGTTAGCTGGCCTTGAAGGTCTTTCTACACAAGAGAGTATGACTCTGAAACCCTTGCCGGCCATTAAGAAAGAAGGTATACATCTAAAGAGATAAAGAAGTCAGGATTAGTTCAATGAGGGGAAGAGAAAGAAGGATGCTGAGAACAGTCAGGGAATATTTGGAGGTCATCCATGACAGATCCCCGTTCTACCATCTGCCCCTCTAGAATAAAATGGAAAAGTAGAAGTGGGGATTTAAAGTCCAGCCTAAGGGGCCTCAGTTTCCCTATGTGTATTGTGAATGAGTAGGATTTTTTTTATTGAACTTCACTTCATCATACTCAGTAAACACAGCTCATTGTAAACCCAGCCAAGGCCTTTCCCAGCAACTCATTCAGCTATGTAAAACCATGATACCTGCAGACTGCACTTCCCTTTCCAAGGACAGGGGGCCTGGGAGAATGAGATGACTAGTTTTATGTGACAATGGATGGGAAACAGCAACAGTATTGACTGACACCAAATTAAGGGGAAAATATGAAGGGAAAAAATCAAAGACAGAGAGACAGAAACACACACATACGCGCACACACACACACACACACAGAGAGAGAGAGAGTGCAAGCTGCCAAAAGAATAATATTGAGATCCTGGTTTTGGTAGAACTAAATATAACATCTTATATTTCCACAGGCAAATTGCCCAACAAACTGAAATGGAAATATTCCAATGTTATTACAGACAAATATAATGTCAACAGCTTGCTATTCTTATCAATAATTCATTATAAACCAACTTAAAGACCTAAAGTACATTGAAAACATCCACCAAAATATTCCAGAGTTAAGTGTAAACAAATAGCATGAAAGAATCAAGAAGGATGACCAAATAAAATCAAGGCAGGCCAAACAGATGAAGCACAAAGTCCCAAAGGATTCTGAGGGAGGTCTAAGCTAAGTTCTAACATCCCTGAAACAAGGGACCAAAGTGGTAAGGTAACACATCCAAGTTTTAGCGTGGAAATAATAGAACCCACACTACATTTCCTGATACACGTCTCCTAGCAGATAGGAAACTGCTGATTTCAGGAACTGTATCCTTTCAAATATATTTTTGCTACCGAAGCACCCATCTCACTAAACCAGAGAGGACTTCTCACACCTATTAACTCAAACAGTGCTTACTGTTTTCCACCTTTTAACCGAAAATGACTAAAACATCCCCCAGAATACACGGTAAATATAACAAGGTGTTTAACAAGTGCTAGTAGATACTAAACAGCTCTGTTAATCCCTATCCAGGAATGGCTGACTACTTCAGGGTGTAAGAGTATGGAGCTAGATCTCTGATAGGCCTAGATTCTAACCACAGAATAATCCTTCATAAGGCAGTAACTGTAAAATGTCTAAAAACTTTTTTTTTCCAACATAAAGTAATGCTGCCGCATTCATTCATTCACTTGGTATTTCTCAAACATCCCTGTGGAATGGGCTCTGCGCAAATTGACCAACTGTAGACAAGTGAAGAAAAGAAAAGCCATAAATCAGTTGTTGTAAACCCCCAGCAGCATCCAGGTGAAGGGACTTACCATACTCTCCGAGTTCCATAACATAAGCTATATCAACATGATTCCCCTCCTTCCTGCACTTCACCCAGCGCCCTAGAACTGTGGCACTTCGTTTTTTCTAATCTAAGAGGTGGTGTCTTATTTTCACATGTCCTTGTTTCTATCTCCCGGAGTGCCTGTGCCTTCTGTGATCCAAGGACAAGTTTCCTTTCAGCTTTCAACAACATACAATGCCTCCCTAGACCTTCAGAGCACATTTTTCTCAACAGACAACATTGACACGTGAAAAATTTGAATATTTAGAAATGGCAAGTCTATTGCACTTTGCCAGTTCTCAAATATCTATGATCGCTGATTTTGCGGTCATAGATATTCCTCATTCTTTTTTTCTGTTTTCCTTATCTGCGCACTTTGTATGTTGTTGAAAGGAATAGCATTGGATGGATCCTTCCAGCTCTGACTGTCAGAGATCCAAGCAGAAGGAGGGAGGAGAGGGGCGGTGATGGGGCGGAGCGACAGAAGCAACCCTCCCCGGCCCTGGGCAGGACCCGCTCCCCCCCGACCCCGGTGCCCAACCTTCGTGGAATGCGGACAGCCACTTCGGACTCACGTCTCAATGTTTCTTTATTGTGCCAACACTGCAGCCTCAGAGCTCAGACCTCACACACAGAACAATTCGTCCAGACGGACCCCCACCCACCCGGCCCCCGGGGCCCTCTGCTTAGGCTGGGGACACCGGGCCTCCGGCCTCAGCCTCTCTAGGACACTGACTCGGCCTCCTCCTCCTCCCTCCCTCTCCCCAGAGCCTTCGGCCCCGGGGAGGCGGAGAAGGCTCGAGATCGCCTTCCTGCGCCCTCGCCCGCCCCCTCCCACTTGTGGGGAGGAGGCTCTGCCTCCCGACGCATTTCCTTAGGGAAATGCCTTCACCCCCAGCCGCCTGGCGGCCTGGGGCGAGCGAGGTCGGCACCAGCCCCGACGTGTCCCCAGCTGCGGGCAGAGGGCCCCGCGCCCTCCTCCCGGCCGGGGCGCAGCCCGGCGGCGCGCTCACACCAGGAGACCTTTGTTGCACTGCGCCAGCCCCTCGGCAGAGTCGGCTGGCTCCGCGCTCTTGACCTTGACGTAGACCGGGGAGGGGCCCGCTTCGCAGGCGGCGGCAGTGGTGCAGGGCGCCAGGGCCACGTCCTCGGGGCCACCGCAGGGCGGAGGCGCGTACTTGCGGCGCAAGGAGCGGCTGACGTTCTGCGTCGGGTACCCCAGAAGGTGGGTGACGCGGCTGCAGCGCCCGCTGGCCTTGCACCCGGGCGCCACGGCGTCCTCTCTGTGGAAAACAACAGGCGGGCGGGTGAGCGGGCTGCTCCGCGGCGCGGCGTGGGCACGGCCTGGGCAGAGCCGGGGGCTCTTGGCAACCTCTGGTCTCCCGCACCTCCCTCCGCCTGCCCTCGCCTCTCTCCCTCGGCCTCGACCTACTCTCCTTCGTGTCCCTTCCTGGGCCGGCGACCCTGCAGCGGTCCCGGAGCCACCATCCCCATCCTCCAGACAGGGCTTGTCCGCGCGAATCTGGACAGCCCAGCAGGCAGCCCCCTCCAGGCCCCTCCAACCCCTTTCTGATGTTTCGCAGGTCGACCGCCTTTAATAGGGATCCAGAAGGAGCTGCTTTTCCTCTTCTTTCCTTAGCTAGCCCTGACCTTGCACGCGCAATCTCTCTCTCTCTTTCTCACCTCCTGCCCCTCAATCTTCTCCATCTTTCCCTCCATCCCCGAGGCATTGCAATCATTAGCACTGCTAGACTTGTTCTATTTTTATTTCTAGTTTGCTTCTAATATAAGTTATTAGCACTATTCTTATTATTAGCTCTTCTTAAATAATCACGTCAGAGTTCTCACCGGCGCAGTACAGGGGAAACAAAAAAACACAGGCCCTGCCCTCCAGGAGCTTACAGTCTAGACAAGACAGACAGGTGCAAGGCAGGAGGGAAATGGAGGGCAGGAAGCAGAGGTGAAGACGGGGGTGGGAGGGGAAGGGAAAAGCCATGCGTTGGGTGGCAGGTCGACATGCCGCAGTCCCAGCACTCTGTGGCGATGGCGGGCAGGGTTGGGGTGGGGGGCCCAGCCGGCCGGTGGCAGACAGGAGTGAGACGAGCAGGGCGCCGGTTCCCCGCCGCACAGCAGCATGCAGCATGCATCAGGTTTTACCTGATCTCACTAGCCAAGTCGCCGCAGGCCCCTCCGCCGACCCCGCCGCCGTTGCTGTAGCCGAAGGCACCGCGGGCGCCGCCCCCGGAGCCCCCGCAGCAGCAGCAGACGAGCCCCCAGATGCCTACGGCCAGGCAGCCCAGCGCCAGCAGAGAGCCCAGCACCACGCCGATGATCAAGCCTACACGCCGGTTGTCTGTGGAGAGAAGTGGAGGCCGGTCAGGCTTTCTCACAGCATGGCAGGTGCCTGAGGACCAGGACCAGGAGGTGCCAGGGCAGGGGTTAGTGGGAAAGAGGCAGAGGGACCCAGGGGGTCTCTGAGCCCTGGGACAGGCAGTGGGGAAGATGTGGGGAGATGCAAGTCAACCCCTTGTGTCAGCATGCTTCTCCCAGGGCTTCCAGCACCGCGCAGAGTGGAAGCTGTGCTGGGAAGGTGAGACCCCACTCCATAGGGCTAATCGTACCCACTAATCTTGGCCCACTTGCAGGAGAGGACCTGGGAGTCCCCATTGGCAAATGGATGGCAGTGGAAAGGCAGAAGCAGCTGAGGCTCCGAACTAAAACCCGGCCATCTCCAGTTCAACCCTCCCAACCACCCAGCCCCCAAGGCTGCTGCACCTACCTGAGACCTTCACCTCCACCATGCAAACACTGTAGCCCACGTTGTTGGCCACTGTGCACTGATACAGCCCATCATCTGCTTTGGAGATATCCTTCAACACCAGGTCCCCATTGTTCAGGCCTGAAAGTGAAGTGGAGAGGCCTGGTCTCTGAGAGCTCCCACCCCAACCTCAGTCCCTGCAGGGTGGGGAATGGGACACCCATTCCGGAAGAAGGGAAGACTTATGCATGTATGTATGAGTCCCTACACACACACACACACACACACACACACACACACACACACATCCACTCCACTCTCCAGGAGAGTCACCTTCCCCCTGCTGTGACGGAGATGCAAGGAAGACCCCTCTCCCAGCAGCAAGACAGAAACACCATTAATTCACTCTGTGAATTTAGGGAAATAGGTCCCCTCTCTGAGCCTTGGTCTCCTCCTTTGCACAGTGAGGACAGGATTAGACCAGTGGAACTCTAAGATCCCTCCTAGCTCTATTATTCTTTGGTTGAATATTTTCAGCTTCTCTGTGTACTAGGGGCTTTACACACCTCCCCCCCTATTTAATCCCTGCATGCTTATGAAAGGTATATATTAGTATTCCCTTCCCATATATGAAGAAATCAAGGCACAGGGAGTTAAGCCGCTTGCCTTAGACTTGCAGCCAGTCAGTGTCCCTGCCAGGATTCAAGCCCAGCTCTGCCTGAGACTCTCCACATTTGCCTTATCATCTCCCCTCAATAGTAGCTGCTAGGCCTCAGTGCAGTGGCTCACGCCTGTAATCCCAGCACTTTGGGAGGCTGAGGCAGGTGGATCACCCGAGGTCAGGAGTTCAAGACCAGCCTGGCTAACACAGTGAAACCCTGTTTCTACTAAAAATACAAAAATTAGCCAGGTGTGGTGGTGTGTGCCTATAATCCCAGCTATCTGGGAGGCTGAGGCAGGAGAATCACCTGAACCTGGGAGGCAGAGGTTGCAGTGAGCCGAGATCATGCCATTGCACTCCAGCTTGGGCAACAAGAGCAAAACTATGTCCCATATATATATATATATATGGCAGCTGCTGGGGCAGGCACAAAGGGGGGGTCTTTTGCAGGGGTTCCAGGTTTGACTTGATGCCACTGATAACTCAAGGAAACCCCAACAAGGTCCCAGAGTCTCTGATCTTCCACTCATCCCCACACCGCCCTCACTCAGGGCCCTCTCACCTTGGTTCATGGAGCTGAAGAAGGACTCCTGGTAGGACACCTCGGAGTGGTAGCTGTGCTGGGAGATGTAAGACCCAGCTCGATAGGGGTAATGGTGCCCACTGATCTTGGCCCACTTGTAGGAGAGGGGCTGGGAGCCCGCATTGGCATAGCACTTCAGCACCACGTCGTTGCCATATGTCATCTGGCCTTCAGACCAGCACACGGGCACTGCGGGTCGTGCTGCAAGGAGGCAGACAATTGTAAGCCAAGGCCCAGCAGCGAGACAGAGCCAGGCTCACAGCGACCAAGCTGCCCTTGGCTCTGAAGCCAGGGGAAGAGGAGCTCAGAGGAGTCTTGCCATACCTTGGACAGTGACAATGACCTTCCGGGTGGCCATGGTGGTCTTCTTCACCCGGCATTCATAGGTGGCCGTATCAGATACCTGCAGGTTCATGAGGTTGATGGAGGCATCGTACTGGCTCGGGTCCGAGGCTGCAAAGCGGACCCTCTGCTGCAGATGGGGAAGGTTGCCATGGTTGATCCTCTTGTCCTGGTAACTAAGGAACTGTGAAGAGGAGAGGAAAACAGGCGGTGAAACAGGCAGAGCCAAGGAGGGCCATGTGGGTTTGGCTGCTTTAGGCAATTCACTGAACTTCTCTGAGACTCTGTTTTCTCAACTGAAAAATGAGAATGAAGATGCCTGATCCACTGACCTTTTACAAAACTGAGGAGATCAAACAACTGGAAAAGTATACGGTCAGACTGGGAACTTTTTGAAGGCAGAGACTATACCTTATTTTCCCTTTAGATTGGGGTGGGGGGAGGAAGACTAACTGGCTAGCTTAATCCACAATTGCAGAGCTCTCATCCCCATTGCCCCATTCCCTGAGAGGCCTGGGGGGAGGTTCAAAGACTTAGTTTTCTTCTCCCCTTGGGATGTTGGCTGTCCAACAGGTAGACATCAGGAAGCATAGAGGTAGAAGATCCCAGTGCCCAGCACTCACCACGTTCTCCCGGTGGTGGGCGGGGTCTGAGTTGACCTGCATCCACTCGATATCCAGCCCATTGGGACCATAGTCCTCAGGGTCCAGGACATAGGGGCAGCCCAGCCTCACATTATCACCTTCCGCCAGGTACAGGACCTCCTGTCCATCTCCATTGATCCGTACAGCAGACAGCAGTGCTGGGGGAGGGCAGAGAAAATGAGTGGTAGGAGCAGAACTAGGGCTTCAGGAGGAGTCGCTATCATTCCTTCCCTTCACATCCGCTGTTCACTGCACCCAGAGGTCAGGAGTGCTTTCATAAAAAGGGCTGTTTTTAGTGGGTGTGTATATGCGTGTGCATGAATTGTTATAGGCATATATAGCTATATGTTACATATATAGCTATACGTATAGCTCTTATATATAGCTGTTACATATGCTTGTATGTATATATGATTGTGTATGCATGTATGAATATGTACACATGTACATTGTATGCTTATGACTATCTGTGGCTGCCTCTGTGTACTGTGAGGTTATTCATGTGTATGACCATGTAGCATGTCTGCTTGTATATTTATGTGATAGTGTGGATGTGCTTGTGTGTGTGTGGGTGTGTGTGTGTGTGTGTGTGTGAAGGTATGTGGTACACACAGAGGTGTCGAATGCTCTGATGGAAGAGCCTGGCTGGTTAAATGTCACCTGTCTGGGCTGACTGAGGTCCTCCTGTCCAGAGGCAGCAGGGTGGTTATAATGGCTTCTGGGGCTCCTCCCCAGCCTGAAAAGCCGAAGACTGCGTGTTGTCCATGTGTGTATGGCCTGTGTGTACGCACGTGTGTATGACAGCGTGTCTGTGTCTATATGCTTCTATGTGGTTCTGTACAGTGGTATATGACCATGTGAGGCTATGTAAGTGCTTAAAAGTGACAGTGCGTGCTTGTGCATGACAGTGGGCAGCTGTGACCAGGAGACTGGCTGTGTTCATGTGTGATAGTGAGTGATGGCGTGTGCCTGGGACTGTGGCCACAGGTATCTGTAGGACAGTGTGACTCTTTCGTGACTACACAGCACTGTGGACTGTGTGTGCTTCCTCTTATGTGATTGTGCGGCTCACATGCAGCCGCCCCCACAAGCTGGCTCCCAGTGAGGCCCCTCCTGCCACTGAGTCAGTGGCAGGCAATCCTGGGTGAGGAGCCGGGATCCCAGGACCCAGGAGCTCAGGACTGAGCTCCTGTCCCTCCCTACTCTGAAGCCCCAGGCAAGCCTATCCCCAACCGGTTGGACCTAGAGAGGGATAAGACCAGGGGTGCGTAGCCAGGGCCCCACCCTGGACACTCTGCACTCCACCACCCAGTCTCTAGCAACCCTGCCTCTGCAGGCCCCTCACCAGGCCTCACACACTCTCCGTCCGCGTTCTTTTTTGAGTCAACATGTATTCTGGAGTCGCAGCCCCAGGTCTCAGTAATTATTCTATCATTCTGTGGCTCAGGACCATGTTTACACTTAGAGATCTCACACATATACACACACAATTACACAGTCACAGGCAAACAAATCGACCTGTGGCCCACTCTTACAAGCCTTCAAAATGCAGATACATACCTAGGTGGCCCCACCTTCCTACACACAGAGACACTATTAGATTCATACAGACACAGACACAATCTGCACACAAACACAGAACATACTGATTCAAACGACACACCCACTGTGTGTTCATATAGTCCCTGTGTGTGTTCATTCAAGACCAGACATATCCATGGAAGCCCTGCCAGGAAGGCTTAGCCTGGCTTCAGCGAGGCCAGCAAGGGCACGTTCAACACCCCCAACACCTCAGGGATCACTAAACTTCCCTCCTAGGAACACTGGCTGGGCCATCAGCCCTGTCCTAACCCGGCTAGACTCCAAGGTGGCCCAGAGCAGGCAGGCTGGCTGCTGGGGCTCTAACGGGACCTGGTGATGCCTCTTCAGCCCCAGGCCAAGAGAACAACTGCTCATTCCTGAGATAAGGATCCTGCTGCCATCTGCCAGATCCTGAGGTGGCTCAAGGCAAGCCAGGGATGAGCCAGAGCTCGGCTGAGAGCAGAGGCTCCACCCTGGAGAACAGCCGCCAGGAGCACCCACGCAGGGAGGACTCTCTCCATGTCATAGGAGCCTGCCAGGCAGGAGGGTAAGCATTCAGGGAGAGGGGCTTGGGAAGGAGGGACAGGCTGGAAGAAAAGCACCTCCGCCCTGCACCAGGCTGAGAGCTTCTTCAATTGTCCCAGGCCGGGGAGTCACCCAGCTTTTCTATCTCCTTAGAAGTCTTCTCAGCCTCCTCCCAAGGGTTCCAGACTTTCCACACCCCTCCTTCTCCTTGGGAAGTTGTTCCTAGTGTCTCGCCTTGGTTCCTCTTGCTGTGGCATTAAGGAAGTACTACAGGGAATGAGAGGGGAGAGGCTAGAGAGGGAAGAAAGGCAGGGTGGAAGAGAGCTGGATGGCAGACTTGAGGAGAGAGGGGAATGGGGGAATCACACAGCGGTGATTCTTTGCCCCCCACAAAAGCACCAGAGGCTGGCCATGCTTTATGGGGTGTCCTCTCAATAGTGGTGCCTATTCTCTGCCTGTAAATTCTTTCTGAATCTTCATGTGCTTCCAGAACTCCTGACCCTCCCTCTGGAGGTGAGGGAGTGGAGAAAAGGCAGCTCCAGCTGAGGGTATTGAAGCGTGAATGCAGTCAGCACTGAGTGTCCTCACACGCCCATAGACGCGCCACACAGGGGGATGTCCAGGTCCCCACAACACAGCCAGAGCCTCCCGAGTGGACTCCGCCAGCCCTGCTCTCACCAGACAGAGAGGGCTGCGGCTATCCTGCCAGAAATGTCATCATTCCCACACAGGTGCACACGCCCACACACTCACATAGACATTTACGCTCACACAAAGACTGAAAATGCCCCCCACTTCCCACATTCCTCTTTCGTGCCCCTTCATCCCAAATCCAGATCGCAGGAGGGACTCAGCGATGTCGGTACACAATGTCCCTTGGCGGGACTTGCCACAACCTGGGCGGGAAGCTACAATGTCCAAATTTGAGCCCTGCTCTGCAGACCTGTCCTGGTGGGGTGAGAGGTTTCTGGAGTTGCCATCCCTGCCACCCTCAGGCCTCATCCTGGCAGGGGCACTATCCTGGAGCTCTCATAGCACAGGGGGCCCAGAGCCGAGCTCTCACCGGCCACGATGGCAGCAATCACTCAGACTTACACCAGCCTTGGTCTCTTGCTCTTTCAAGGCAAGTGACTCCCCTGCCCCTTGGGTCTGGCCTTGGAAGAGGAAAAGTAGCCCTGGGAATAGCACACAGTCTGATGAAAATTGATCTTTCCCAGGCTCCTCCTCGGCCCTCCTACCCCACCTCCAGCTCCCGCAGAGTAATCCCTGTCCTCCCAGGCACAGCACGAGCTTGCAGGGCACCTGCACACATGTGTGAGCCCGACAGGGGACATGCAAAGATCCACTCAAAGACCTTCACACCACAGACACCCACCCTGATCCTCAGGCACAGGCTCTCCTGGGGGGAGGACCCCTGGCAATACCCACATCCGGCTGCAGCAGGGCAAGAGTGGGCAGCACCCCTCCAGGCATCTCAGGCAGCTTCAGGCTCCCCTGTGAGCCCTTGCTGCACCGTTCCTGCCCACCTAGCCTCATGCTGGCTGTCCCTGCCCCTGCCCAGCCCCGTACCTGGGCTCAGGCACACGAGCAGCAGGTGGAATGCTCCTCCAGCTCCCATGTCTCTAGGCTCGGTGTTTCCTCCGCCTGGGCTGGGTATCCCGTGGGCTGGTGGTGGTGGGTGTGAGGGGGTGGGTGGAGGGAGGAGGAGCTGAGGGCCCAGACACTGCCCAGGGTGGCAGGAAGGTGCAATGAGTGCCCGGCTGGGGAGCAGCCGGAGTTATTTCTATGGGAGGGAGGGGGCCTCGTCCCCGCCTTGGGGAGGAGTCCCAGGAACCCTAATTAGCGGGGTGACAGGGTGGCCTACCCAGGCATTACCCAGCCCTCACCCAAGCTCTTCCCTGTCCCAAGAGTGGCACAGGGCAGCCAGCGGAACTTGTAATTAGGCACCTGTTAAACTTCACTTCCTCCTGGCCACATCCTCAGGGTGACAACAGTCACCTCATTACAGCTTCCAAGAGCTTCCTTCACCACTCATTTGCTGCCTCCTTCCCTGGGGGAAATGGGGAAGAGGAAGGAGAAGCCAGGCTTGGGAGGAAGAGTGGCCAGGCCCTGAAGAGTTAATCCTGATCCCAGGCCATAAGGTTCCCCGGGAGCATCCAGCCCACCTTCCCCAGAGGCTGCAGGGCTTTTGAAGGGAGTCAGGCCTCCTGAGCTGAAAGAGGAGAGAAGGGGTGTGTGCAGGGACACAGTCTCCTCCTGGCTGGCCCTTCTGGAACTGTGCTCCCCATTCATACCTGACTCAAGACCATCCCCAAGTATAAGGGACCCCTGGGAGCAGGGGTGCTATAGGGGATCCAGGGTGACTGATGGACTAGTGCGGGAGTGTTGGAGAGAACAGTGCCAAGAGGACTGACAGGGGAAGGGGGTCCCTGTGGAAGGTGTGCACCCCTCAGCAATGTGTGTGTGGGAGGAAGGCAGGTTGTCTGTGCCAGGGTGTCTCACTGAGGATGGCTAAGCCCCTCTGAGTGAACTTCTTGAGGGATCGCTTGGTGTCCTGGCTTCTCTGCCCAGAAAGAGGGGCCGGGTCTTGGGGCTGAATGCAGTCCGAGTATTAACTGGGTCCTTGAGACCAAGGACCCTCGTAACCTGGACTGGTCATCAGGCTGACTACGCCAGCACAGTTCTGGGTAGGTTGGCGCTGGGGTGGGGAGGGTCCTGGCAGGTGGCGGGGGGGCAAGTGGAGGGCCCTCCTTGTTGGCTGGTCTAAGGGGGACAGGACATGCCTATGCCTCTCTGGACTCCATGGTGGGAGTCAGGACATGAGTGACCCCATTCAGTAGCTCGACTCCCTCAAAGGAGTCAGGGACTGTCCCCCTTCCCTACCATGGGGCACAGAAAAGGCAGAGGGGGAAGAGTGTTGGGGAGGATTATGGGGCACAGGGATGTTGCCAGGGCCCATCACTCGGGGGAAAAATAAGACAGAACATTAAGGAAACACAAGGAGTCCACGCGTCTCTGCGTTCCAAACCCCTGCACCCAATTCCCAACAATAACAGGGCACTCTGAGACCTGGCAGATGTACACAATGAATATCTTTATTTCCTTATTTATTTTTAGGTTTATGGGATTTTCCTGCACCCTTTGAAGAGCAGGGATCATTATCCCCATTTTACAGATGGGCAAACAGAGGCCTGGAGAAACATAGGGATTCAGCCAAGGCAGCTGGGGCCTGAGGTGGGATACCCGGTACCCAGGCTGTCAGTCCAGAGTGGTCCAAAGAGAGGTCTCGGTGATCCTGTGGATTACTAGACCCACTCACAAACAAGAAGCATGGAGGGGCAGGGTGGGTGGGAGGGAAAACAGGTGAGACCATGAATAGAGAAAGCAGAAAGGTGGTGGCTTTATTAAACTGAAGGGCAGGCTTGGGATGTAACCGGGTTCTGGATGTGGGCTAATGTTAGAGCTGGGGTTAAGTTTGGGGTTAGTTGAATTATGAATGTGGCTGAGGTCAGATTTGAGGTTGGGATTAGAGCTAAGGTTGGGATTCGGGTTAGAAATACAGCCAGAATTGAGGCTAAGGTTTATGGCTGGGATTTGTGTTATGATAAGGAATAGAGTTTTAGTTTCATTTACAGCTCTGCCTGGGGATACAGTTAGGGCTAACTCAAAGGCTGGGTTTAGATTGATTTAGGATTGGGGTGACCATTGGGTTGGAACTGAGCTTGAGACTCACGTTGAAATAGGCTACGGTTAGGGTTGGAACACGGTTTAAAGACATGTAAGCAGCGGGAGTTGATGAGAATCAAAGATGAGGTTTTATTTCTGATATGGACAGACTTCAGCCTCCATCTGCTCCATCCAGGTTTGGCTAGAATTTTCCCCCCTTATTGTGGGGAGACTACCATTGGCACTTGTTGACTGGGGTCTCAAGACTTTGAGGAGGAAGCCAAAGGTACAGGAGCCCATCTAAGGGGTATGAGACCACCAAATCCCATAGCACGGGGACCCTCTGAAGTCCTGCTCCACTACCAAGCTCACCAGCTGGCCAAGCTCCAGGAAAAGCATTTGGGGAGGAGATGCAGGAAGCTATTGACCATGAATGGGGCTCTGACACCAAACTGAACTAGAAGATCCATCAAAGGGAGTCTTACTGGGTGGGGAGGACGGATGGTCTGCATTGGAGTCCTTAGGAGATGGGAGTTGGGAGAAACTAAGGGCCTACATGCTTCTAGAACAGCCCCTTTATGGGGCACCACATGGGGGTCCTTCAAAGCCTGAAAGGGCAGAGTGCCATTTTGTTCCCCTTGACCTTCTGAGGCTTAATTGCTACCTCCTTGCAATTTGAATCCTGTAAAAGAAGCTGTCAGCCTTCCAGCCCTATGCCCTGAGCCCTGCAGGGTTTTCAGAGCGGGCAGCAGTGGGGAGGCTGTGGATGGAGTAAAGGCACTGGGGTGTCAGCATAGTTTCCATAGCACATGTCGCGGTCCCGCGGTCCCCTCTCTCTGGGAGCAGCCACTGTCTGTGATTCTCTCTGGGCCTTAACCTCAGCAGTGGAAGAGGGCCCCACTCCTAGGAAGACCCCATCCCAACTCCTCCCTCTCATTTTTCCCAACCCAGTCTCCACCCCAAACACCTCACTTCCCCACCCACTTCCTTTTCAGGTTTTATAAAGGTCTGGATCTAGGAGACTACTGGGGTTCCCTCTGTGGCCCCAGAGAGAGAGAAGAAAGATTGGGAGAGAGTGATGCGTTATAGGGCAGAGACAGAGACAGAAACACACGTGGTCTAAACAGCTCCTCCAGAGGCTCAGAGGGAGACAGAGGAGGCAGAGGGCCCAGGCCATGAGCTGAGTCCCAACACCAATTTCCAAAAGGGCCCTTTGCTTTTTCCTGGGAAATCCGTGACTCTCCAGGGAAGAACAGCCCTGGTTGGGGTGGTATCATCTTCTATTCTAAGACATTCACAGAAAATCAAAGACAGTCCTAGAAAGGAGTAAACAGGGAGATACAGGAGGTAGAAAGAGGCTGGACAGAAACCCAGGGAAGTCCAGAGACTGCTTCCAGGATGAGTGCAGCCCAGCCCCAGAACATTTTTGGGAAGGGCAGGCAGAGGGCTTGGCCTGCCTACTCTTCCTCCAAAGTCCCTTTCACGGCAACTCCACCCAACTCCCCTAAGCCCTGCCCTCCTCTGCCTGGATCTGCCCACCCCAACCCCTCTCAGGGGCCGCCAGACTCCCTGGGCTCAGGTTCAGTCAAGCTCCCCACAACCCCTAGCTTGGCTGGCACTGCAACTTGACTTTCTAGGCTCCTCCCCACACAGTCAGCAAGCTCCTCAGCCCCCTCTCCCAAGTCCCCATGCAGCCCAGGACTCGCCCTGCAGCACGCAGGGAGGAGTTGTCCTGCAGAGGAAACCTCTGAGGCAAGACCCTGGGAGCAGCAGCAGTGAGACACTATGGATAGGCAAAGTCACAGAGAAGCCAAGGAGCCTTGCAGCTGCTGTCCGTCCACCCGGCTTTCAGCGACAATTTGGAGGTGGAAGTCTGCCAGGTGAGGCCATGGTTGCATGAGAAGGGCAGGGGGCTCAGAGGCTGCATGGGTGGTGCTGGGACATCAGGTTCTGGTTACGGAGAGAGATGAGATCGACGCGTGGGGTTAAGTTTGAGGGTGTGGATTGGGTTCAAAACTGAGGCTCAAATCAAGGCTGGCAGGGAAGAGCTGCGAACACAGGTGACACAGGGACTCCCCAGGCCCTTGCTCAGGTTTCCCAAGCCTCAATGGTTCTGACTGGTACACTTCAGAAAAAGCGGGATTCTAGGAAGAGCCTGGATATGCCCACATCTCCCCCATCAAGCAACGTCCTGAAACTGACAGAAGAGCAAGCAGCACACGCACAGTCCCCATCAACTAAAGGAGTGACTGGCGCTGTCACTACATCGGCAAAGCACAAGAGCAAAGGGAGGCGATTGAACACCACCAACTGAACTGTTAGCAAGAAAATGAGTGGACGCACGAAGAAATCGCTTGAAAAGTGTATGTGATTTCCTGATGACAGACTTGAGCAAGAATGAAGAGACTCTGAAGATAAAGGTGTCTTCACCTCGCCAAGATCAGCCACATCCTGCAGACCCTCCATTCATTCAGTAAGCAGCCAGGCATTATGCTAGGTCCTGGGGAAATGGCAATTAAGGAGACTCAGTCTCTGTTCTTACAGAGAACCCCATTTGATGGGGAAATGGCTCCTGGCCTGCAACGTGGTAAGCTGCAGTAAAATGTGGGAGGCCGCTGGCCTCGTGGCAATGATGTGTAAGCGGAGATCTGAAGGATAACTAAAACGGCGTGCCAGAGAAAGGAGTAGGGGGTGGAGCGAAGTGGCCAGGGGAATATTTCTGGGCTCGGTAAGTAAGCCAGGTCCCTGCCAGACACGGACTGAGAAGAGCAAAGCCAGGAGTGACCGCTGGTGATTATTCTTTAACTGAGGAAGGAAGATCCTTGAGAACAGAACCTCTTGGGACCTTCTACTGAGAACACCAGAGCACCTCACAGGGATCAGAGCCAGGCCCTTGGGTGGATTAAGCAACCAAAATTGATTGTCCTGAACCATGTGTCTGTCTGTTTACGGAGAGAGAAACTGTGATGAATTAATCCACAGGTCCAATGGGACTTTGACTTAATTTGTAGAAATAAAATTTGCTTTTGATTTTGTCATCTGGATCCCCCAAACACGTATCCGCAGAGGGGAACTGTGGTCCCC